GGAGGAAGGAAGAAAGGAAGGAAGAAGGAAGGAGGAAGGAAGGGAAAATAGAAGGGGAAAGAAGGCAGGCAACACAGTAAATCAAAGGCTTATGATACAGCCATCCTGATGACAACTTTTTCATTAGTAATATTAGACACTTCTTCACAGTACATGGGTGAGGTAAAGCATGCTCCTACCTCTCAGAATTATCATTTACTCATTGTGTTGTCATACCCAGAGGTAGGTCACTTGGTAGGTCAACAAGTGAGAATCTAGGTGTGATTTAAACTATCAGTCTACCTATGCCTAAAGCTCTCTCCTTGCTCTCATGAGCCCATCAGCATCCCGAGCCTAAACCTCACAGTCTTATCATGACACTGATTGGAGACTGAGTTTCCCAGGGTCTCTTTAAGTTTCATCTGAAGTCATTTTCTGATGAGACTGCGCATGAGTCAAGGTCTTGGCCATTTCTTAGGGTCTCTGTGCAGTCAGAACAGCTCTGAGAATCTTAGAAGTGATCAAACAGCTGACTCCCAGAGAAGTTCCAATGCAGAAGAGCAACCTGGGGTTCAGGACAGATGCAGGAAGTAATGCTCTTGACTACCTGGCCATCCCATCATGCTCTGGTGGAGCTCGGAGTGGGTCAGGTGACACTACCCCTTTCTGCTTCACTCCCGATTTCAGTGAAAACCGTTTCATTCTCAGTTGCAAGTAAACAACTAATAACCTGAACCCACCTTACCAGTTGTGATTGGTTTCAAAGTGGGCTCCTGATAGAGTTCTACCCAGGGTCAGGACAAGAGATCTGCGATGCTGTCTTGGAAGGCTGTGGAACCTTTAAATCCTGGAGTAAGGATGTAGGTCACACACTGGGGGCAGAATTCGGGGTGGTGCACCCAGCCCCACTTCCTGTCTGCACTCTGCTTCCTGACTGTGAAGGTCTATTTTTCCTGACCGTGTGACGCAGGCCTCATTTGCCTGCTGCCACACCTTGTGCTGTGTGAAGGACTGTATCCCTTCTTAAACTGTGAGCAGGACAAACCTTGTCTCCCTTAAGTTGCTTCTTGTCGGTATTTGGTCACAACGATGAATTAATACCGAGGGTTATGACTGTGCGTGTTGAAGAGGTCTGAGTCCCATTCCAGAGATGTCTCCAAAAAGTGACCTGGGAAATGAAAGTGGCTCATTTTATTCAAAAATGCTGGCAGCTTGTTCACTTTATTTTTATCTTTATGAGTGCGTGCATGTGTGTGTACATATATGTTTGGGTCTAGTGTAGGCACAGAGGCCCAAGGAGGACACAGAGTATGCGGTATCACTCTCAGCCCCATTTCCTTAGACGGGGTCTCTCACTGAACTAAGCCTGCTGGCAGTCATCAGTTCTCAGAGATCCTCCTGTCTCCAGCCACGTAACCCTCGGTTATAGGCATGTGTACAGCCCCACCTGCTTTTATGTGGTACTGGGATCTGAACTCAGGTGTTCATGCTTGTGCAGCAAGCACTCTTACCTACTAGGCCGTCTCTCTAACCGCATCCCTTTATTTTTATGTCTACCAGCTAGGCTTTCCAAGCATGCAATATAGTAAGTTTTATGTTAGGGAAAGGGCATAGAAGCCAGCATAGAATATTTTTGTCACCTGTCTTTCCACCAACACACAATGAAGTCTGCATCTCTGTACAATGAATGCGATTCCAAGGCCTTGCCACAAGACTCATCAGGCTGCAGTTATTTATGACAGAAAGTGCAACAGACTCCAATTTTGAAAACATTGTCAATAAAGAATGTGAGCTAAGGGGCTGGAGAGATGGCTCAGCAGTTACAAGCACTTACTGCCCTTACAGAGGACCCAAGTTCATTTCCTAGCACATACAACAGGTGGCTCACAGCTAGCTGCCTATAACTATAGCTCCAGGGGCTCCGATGCCCTTTTCTGGCCTCCTTAGTAACCTGTACTCATGTGCACATAGACACATAAATAAAAATAAATCTTAAAAATATAAAAAAGAATATGGGTGAAAAATTTACTTTACCCCCTTTAACCAGGCTAACTCTGTCCTAAACTTTCTTATCTCCAAATTTTTATGTTTTGGAATCTAGACCAACTAAGATTCATAATACAGGTATAGAATAAAATAAAAAAACATTCACCTGTGCTTGATTTGCAACATTTACTATCTATCTGGAATGATTTCCTCATGTGTTAGTCACTCTTTTCTACAATTAAAAACTAATCTCCTTGAAAGCATAAACCACATACTTACCTCATTTCTCTAACTTTGGCCTCACTTTGTCTAACACACATCAATATTAAACACCCCCAAAATATTTATTAGCGGTTGATTGGTGAGGTCAGTATTCCAGCCTTCTGGGTTCACCTCAGATCTCACACTTCATTTCCTGTAGTCTCTGACTCCCACTACACCATAATCCTGATATTGTGACAACAGACAGCAGCAGGTGTTCCTTAGTTGGTTAGTTAAGGAATAGAGGAGAGCAGTAGGTGTCAGGTAAAGATAATCCCAGACTACTTCTCAAAAGTGGAGCCTTTGAAAACAATCTTCACAGCATTTATCTGTCTGGCAGAGAAAACAAATGTTTGGCTAATGTTCACTGGATTTTTTGGTGTGGATTAGGTTATGATTTGGTCAGTTTTCCAATAAGGCAACAGAATTGCCTAGATGAAAGTACTATGTTTACATGGCCAGCAAGATGGTTCAGCAGATACAGGCATCTGCTACAGAGCCTGACAATCTGAGTTTCATTTCAGGACACACATGGTAGAAAGAAAGAAATGATTTCCATAAGTTATCTTCTGTTACACACACACACACACACACACACACACACACACAAATAAATAATTTTTTTTAAAAAGAGAGAAAGTACTACATTTACAAATGGACTAGAGGGTTAAGATAAGGGGCATTCTGGATATTATAGCTTCAGAATTAGCTAGTTAAATAAGCATTAATGTGTCATTTTTCTAAATATATGCCTAAAGAGAAACTTCAGAAAATATAAGAAAGCAAAAAAGGAGAATTTGAATAATACCCATTTTCCCACACTATTATGTCATGATTAATTATTCTCCTAGTCTTCCGTCTAGTAAGATGTAAGTATGAAAAATTCCTTAACAAAAAGAGGTCTAGGGACTGGAGAGATGGTTCAGCCGTTAAGAGCACTGGCTATTCTTGCAAAAGACCTGGGTTCAAATCCCAGGACCAACATAGTGGCTAGCAACCATCTGTAACTCCAGTTCCAGGGATCAGTTGCCCTCTTCTGTTCGCCACATGCACTGCATGACATGGGTGCACTTACATACATGCAGGTATAACATTCATACACATAAAATAGAAATAAAATATTTTAAAAATTAAAAAGAGGGCTAATATTGATAACTATAACTAAACCCAAAGTGTTTTCCCAGCACCATGGTAAACAACTCTGGGGCAAAATATATTTCTTGTTTCTGTGCCTAACCATCCTGGGACCTGACCAAAAGTAATTGCCACTTGCTTCAGGAAGCATTTGTTTATATATCAAGACCAACAACTTGCTCAACAATAATTCTTTCAAGTCCTCTCCTTACTGTGACCATGAATTCAAGGCTATTACAACATAAACTCTCCCCGGTTCCAACCATTTCCCTGTCGTTCAAGATTCGTAATCATTATATTCTGACCTTAAACCCTGTAAACCTTCTCCCATAAAGTCCTCTTTTGGCTAAACTACTAAGACTTTATCAAGGAAGTCTTGGTTATTGAAATCTAGTAAACAGCTTTGCTTAATCAACAAGTATTTCTAGCAGTCTTTTTGGGAACTGCCAGTCAACCTAATACTGCCTCACTATGGGATTTTTTTTCACTCATGTATATTGAACTTTTCATGACCTTTCCATCCATAACACTATTCTTACATAATATAAGCCATTTAGCCAGTTATCTGTTATTTCCTTTTAAGGTCTTATTAATTTTTGGCTCATAAAATCAGTGCTGCAATGACACACCAGTAAACTAAATTATTCACGGTTATTCACTATTTTCCATTTCTTTCCTTGGAACAGATATTTGGAGATGAAATTACTAAGTCAAA